CTAGACTCTAATTCCCATTCAACTAGCTGTGTGACCGTGAGTGAGCCCACCTGCCTCTTGAAGCTTCAATTTCTTCAACAGTAAATCTAAGCTAGTAACAGCACCAACATCATGGGCTTCTTTTGTGTCTAAATGAGATTATGTATTTAAGGCATTTAGCACAGTGCCTAGTCCATTCATTGTTAAGGCTCGATAAATAGTTCCTTAAACTTAAAAAGTGAGGGAGTGGGTTGAGGTTGGATTTAGCCCAGACACTCTTTCCTGTGGTTTTCCCAAAGGCGTAGACTGAAGATGATCTGTTTTGCATATATGATAGTTTGTATGGTGTCCTGGAATACTAAACAGGTGTTTTATGTGTGTGTGTTTGTGTGTGTGTGTGCATGTGTGTGTGTTTGTGTGTGTGTATGTGCATGCACGCGCCGATCCCAACACAATTCACAAGTGCTTTTAGCATAACAAGAGATGAAGAAGTTTAATTAATAAACACACACTTTATCTCAATTCTGTGGCTGGTGTATGGTAACCACTCCGTTCTCCATCATCCCATTTCCATGGCCCTGGACTGAAGATTGTCAGCAGTGCTCTTGGTATGGCTAAAGATGGCAAAGTACCTCCCCTGAGCTTCTGTCTGAAGCCCCTTCCAAAGCCCCCATTCTGAAATCTGCAGCCCATTCAGCAGTTAACAGATGCCTTTAGCTATCACCTGTCTACTCATTCTGAAAACAGTCCTTATCGACTACCTACAGAACTTGTTCTGATTTCAAGACAAGGAGGAGAATCTTAGTGCCTTTACCTCATCTTCACCAACTTGTCTTCCCAACACATCCTCTCTTAAAAGAATGCCTAAAATTAAGAGAACCTGCTATAGAGGCTCATTCATGTAAGCGCTAGATTCTCAACCTAACTTGGCCACTTAGAAGCTGTTTGCCTTTGAGCAAGTTGCTTAACTTCTCTGTGCACCCTGTTCTTCCTCTATAGAATGGAGATGATACCCGCTTCACAGGAAGAATGCTGGAGATGATATATGGAAAACAGCAAGCAGGATGCCTGGAATTATACAGGTGGATAATAGTAATAATGATAATAATATCATTGCTACTTTATTGCTTCTGTTTTCCCTCCAAAATACCTTCCAGCCCCTCTTCAG